ATCTTAGCAAATTTATGTCACGAGACGAAACGGGAATGCATATGTAATTCCAAACATGTGTCCTTCCCAATCAAACATCCCTTCATATGTTGTCCTCATCCATTTGTATATGTTCATTTTTGTTCTAAAGGCTTCAATTATTTAGATAGAATGTTGAATTATTTGGTATCTCCACTAATAGAAAATAGCAAGTCCTGTGACGCTAAATGGAACCAGTCATTATTGTAATATTTTGACAAATACTTATGAAGATTTATTACAATTGAATATTGCTAACAAAATGACCATGGCCTGATCTTCACCATAGTTTGCGGGTTCTGAACCAATCATATCGTGCCACGTGTGGGTGTCATTTTTAATGTTACATGTTCGCACTATTGAAACAGGGCCCACATGGCCATTTCAGCTTAATCTAAAATTTTGTTGTCAACCCTTGACAAAGATGATCAATTGGAATTATTCAAATTTTTATGAATTGTTTATAGGTGAGAGAAGATCCTATCCGAAATCAAAGCTAACACGTGTCCCGATCACATGCATAATTATTTTAAGGAATGATTGCGGCAAAAGTCTCAAATCTTTGAAATATTAGTAGACATTTCCTAAATATTTGATTTGTTACAGTGTCATCTCTAACATTTTCAAACATTGCAAGTAAGGCCCTTTTGGATGGTTTCCGTCCATAATTTCATCGTTGACCAAAAATTTAACTTTAACAACATTTTTAATATTTTAAGAAGGGGACAAAAAATTAATTTTCCATTTATCACATTAAATAATTAAATAAAAAATAAACAAAAAAAAACACACCCACCCACAGGTGTCTTCTCCTCTGACCACCGCCACCTCCACCTCTTTGTTCTCTTGGATTCTCATCTCTATGAAGGCCAAGACATACAGAAATAAAGAAAAAGAGTTCTTGGGTTCTTTAGAGAGGGAAAAAGAAAGAGTAACAGAAAATATAGATGGATGAGAAAGATGATGATTTAAGTTTGAGCTTGAGATGCCCAGATAACAAAAATCTGGATCCACCCACACCCAATTTCCCCTTGAATCTAATGAAGTCTGCTTTGCCTTTTATGCATTATCATGGGAAAAGATCTGTTAAAATCACCTACTGGTAAATTTCTGTTTTCTATTTTTTATGCTTTATTTCGTGAAGAACACGGATCTTACAATTTTCATATATTTTTCTTTGTCAACTCTGTGCTTGCACGTTTGATTTCTGACAAAATGATTGTAAAAACTTTTGATTTTCATAGAAAATTATCTTTCTTTTAAGACTTCCCTCCCTTTTTTTTGGCAGAAATCGAATTTCAAATAAAATGAAAATATAGAAGCAAAAAATAGAACTTCATCTAGAGAAAATCTAACATTTTTCAAAAATCCCAGACGCATTGCTGAGACCAAATCGTTTTTTCGAGGAATTGATGTGAATAGGCCAGTGACTGTAATAGACTGTGAGGAAGAAGACCCCGATGGGTGGGTCTGTTTTTTTTATTTAATTATTTAATATGATAAATAGAAAGTTATTATTTTGCCCCTTCTTAAAATATTAAAAATGTGGTTAAAGTTAAATTTTTGGTCAACTGACGGAATTATGGAGGGAAACCATACAATAGGACCCGCAACATTTGAAAAGATTATGGGTGACGATTGCAACAAATCAAAAGTTTGAAAAAAGTCTACTAATGTTTCAAAAATTTTAGGCTTTTGCTGCAATCATCCCTTATTCTAATGATGTAGGTTGATTTCTTCAAACCCTATGTAGATTGTAGGGGTATTTTCATTTCAAGATTGATTGGTTAACTAACTAATTAAAGAAATATGTCCATTACGAGAGAAAAGAAATTAGATAAGAGTTCGGCTATGCGAAATATACAAAAATGAAGTTGGGCTTACCGTTGTAGGTCCTTCTCCTCTCGTTGAGACAACCCTACTTTTTGTTTGGTTTGTGCACCGCGACATGAAATCATAAAGAAGCTAAAGTCGATAATGCGAAAAAGCCTCTCTTTACTTATTTAACTTGACATATTTTGCTAAAATTGTCAAACGTGATAGATATTTCACAAAGAGGCTCACATGATACGTTTATTAAGTACGATGTAGACCCTTCTAAGTTATCAAAGTCAATCACCTTAGTATTGAGCAAGAAAGTTAAGTCAATAATCAAATCTAGACATGAGTTCACCGGCTCATTCCTTGCTCATTCTTAGACTCAATCTCGGCTTGGGTTCACAATGAGTAATGATTGATCCAATATTTAATTAATCCTAACTCCTGTAACGTGGATTTAATTATGTAAATACAGTGATCAAGAACGATTTTGACTATAATTATAAAGACATGATATTAACAGTTATTGTAAAGGTACGATAATATTGCAAATCACTGGGTAAACTTCATCAATCCCGAATTACATATAGTGTGATGATATGCAAAACGCTCTACATATTACTTGCTTGTATGAGTTTAACTTCTAGAACCTTTTTTTTAGGGTTATTGGCGCAAAACGTCCCTACCTATGACAGTCCTTGTGGAAAACGTCCCTACGTTTGATTTTTTGGTGCAGAACGTCACTACATTTGCATTTTCTTGCGCAAAACGTCCTTCCGTCCAACTCTCATTAGAATCCACCGTTAAATAAAAGGGTAATTGGCGCAAAACGTCCCTACCTATGATGGATCTTGTGGAAAACGTCCCTACGTTTCATTTTTTGCCGCAGAACATCCCTACCTTTCACTTTTTTTGCCCAAAACGTCTTTTTTTCCCAATTTTTGATATAAAATGACCAATATACCCTTCAATTTAAATAAAACAAAAAGGAAAAGAAAAGAAAAATCAAGAATAAATTGCAATCTGATCCAAAACATTTTAAAAAGT